TCTCTCTAGAGGAACTTGACTAATATCCCCCTTCCAGCCTTGCAACCTAGAACCTGGCTCCTTCAGCCAGTAAACTTGACGATTGAAGGGCTCACCTGGTCTGTGTCCCTTCTTTCAGGGGTCACTGTCCTGTGTGGGCTGTTGCCCAACGTCTGTTTTATACATTCTGTCAGGGGTTTAAAATTTTTCGTGGGGAGCTAGATTCCATCCCTATTTTTGTTTTTAATTTAAATGTTACAAATAATCCACAAGAAAAAAAGCCAGTACCTGCAACTCCTTAAAAACTAGAACAGAAAACACTCACCTCTTCTGACAGTACGGATTTTCTAAAAGAAACAGAATTCCGTTTTACACACAGCAATGCTGAACAGAATCAATTTGACAACTGTTATGACTACCAAAAAGGAAGAAATTTTCTTTAAAAGATTTCTCAAATTTGGATTTACTGTAAACAAATTGTACTCATTTGCCACCACAAGTGGTAACTGCATCACACACCACCCCCACCTTCTGCGATTCCCTTGACGTGGCGGCTTTGTCAGATACTACAGGGGGATGCTGTAGCCTCAGTGTCTCCCATTTGCACAGATGCTGCTTCTAGCTTTGACAACAACACAATATGATGTCTCAGAGACTAAAACGACTACATGAAGCATTGCCAAACAGAAGGCTTTATGCTGCAAAGTGTTGAAACAAGCACACACTGCTTTCTGAGACGCACTTTCTTGCACAGAAAAGAGTCTTAAATTATTTCTGAAGGTGACAGAGGCCCCATAATCTGGCATGATGACCATCCATTGCCAAGATAGGAACGTACTCCTGGGCTCAAATGATCCTCCCACCTCAGCCTCCCAAAGCACTGGGATTTACAGATATGAGTCATTGTGCCCAGCTGCAAATCCTTTTTTTTTTTTTTTTTTTTTGAGTTGGAGTCTCACTCTGTCGTCCAGGTTGGAGTGCAGTGGCATGCTCACGGCCACCACAGCCTTGACCCGCTGAGCTGAAGGGATCCTTTCACCTCAGTCTTCCAAGTAGCTGAAACTACACCTGGCTAATTTTTTTATCTACAGTAGAGACGAGCTCTCACCAAGTTGCCCAGGCTGGTCTCAAACCCCTAGGCTCAGGCAATCCTCTCACCTCAGACTCCCTAAGTGCTGGGATTACAGGCTTGAGCCACCACGCCTGGCCTCAAGTCCTCTCTTTAACAAAGACAGAAATGGTAGCTCACATGTGAGGTAATATCAGAAGACAGGTTGGAAAAGACGGCCAGCAAAAGTTGATTTTCTTCCATGATCAATTTCAAGCATCTTGGCTGGAAGCTTCCTACACACACGTCAACTTAATTGTCAACATAAGCGGGGCCCTTGTGTTATTTTATAAAGGTGAATGGTAACAATAAATGGGGTGGGATGTGTTGGGTGCAGGGAAATGTCTTGTTAGGCAGCTAAGGCCAGACTGAGACCCAACTAGGAAGTGCTCAAAGGTTGCCTCTAGGTTCCTGTGCCTTCCCGGGGTCTTCAGCTTCCTTTGTTCCTCCTCGCCCATTCTTCAATGCCTAACCCTGCCCTCCACTCTAGACACAACCAATTCTTGAATAGCATCCTACGCTCTCTCCAGAGTACACAAAGTATGGTCTGTTACCGGTCCTTAAAGAGAGGAATAGAAATGGAATACAAGCATTTGGAAACCATTGCAGCAATCCACAGAGTAATTTTATATCACAGGACTGTAATAATACTAACATAATATAATCACAGAGTAAACCAAGGCTTGTATTTGCACTTTTTTTTAGTAATTCATTGTTATTATATTTTATAAAAATAAGCCGGGCTCAGTGGTTCAACCTGTAATCCCACGCCTTTGGGAGGCTGAGGTGAGTGGATTGCCTGAGCCTGCGGGTTGGAGACCCGCCTGGGCAACTTAGCGAGACCTCATCTCTACAATAAATCAAAAAATCAGCCGGGCGTGGTAGCACATGCCTATAATTCCGGCTACTCGGAAGGCTGAGGCGGAAGGATCGCTGGAGCCCAGCAGGTTGAGGCTGCGGTGGCCGGGAGCGGCCACTGCACTCCAGTCTGGGCAACAGAGTGAGACTCCAACTCAAAAAAAAAAGTAATTGTCCGTAACAATTTAGAAATTAAAAAAGAAAAAACCACTTGGTCCTTCACTAAAGACAGTTTGAGGAACACTGCTCTGTGTGTTTCCTGGCCCCTTCATTAAAGCTAGTGCCAGGGTCCAAGAGTCTGTGAGGGAGGAAACGGGAAAAGGTGGGAGAAGGAAGTGGTCAGCCGGCCCCAGCTCAGGAGGCAGCCTGGGACCCATGTGACCACACTGAATCCTGCTCCGAATTTTGGCTTCAGGAACTGCTGCTCTGGTTGACTTAAAAGTTAGGGCATAATATGGACTGACATTTCCCTGTGGTTTCAAGCACTGAGCTCTAAGATTGGGTAAAATCTAGGTATTAAAACTCCATAGGTTGTCCAGATAAAGGTATGTGTAAGTCATCAGGTGACAATTAAAACCTGGATATACATGGTATTTAAGAAAGGAAAATAATCGATAACCTAAAGGCCCAGCAAGATCAAACGACTAAGCCAAGCCATCAATACCTACTATGACAGCTGGATTGAACACCAGGTAAACAGCAAACTGTATGACAATTGCTTGGAAATGCATACAAAGTAACACATGTCTATGCATTGCAGTGATGTTTATAATGGTTTAAAGAAAAAAAAAGAGGAACCGGGTATTAAGTAAAGGTCCACCAGTAGAGAAATGGTTGAACAATTGATCACAATACCCTCATTTCAGAGATGGAGTTAGGTCTCTCCTAGTTAGCCTGGAGGGATTTCACAGCATTTTGAAAAGTAAAAAAAGCAAGAGACAGAGACATATTTGCATATTAGTTTCCCAATTTTTAAAAACTGAAACCCTATCCTTATTCACAATGGCAAAAACATGGAACCAACCCAGATGCCCTTCAAAAGTGGAATGGGTAAAGAAAATGTGGTACATATACATGATGGAATACGATGCAGCCATAAAAAACAAAATCAGTCCTTTTCAGCAATACGGATGCAACTGGAGACCATCATCCTTAGTATACACTGGAGATAAGCTATTTTTTTCCAAGTGACTCTTTGGAGAAAGGTATACCCACTGGTTGTTAAAACTGGTTACTTGGTGTTGGGGTGGAAAGGTCAAGAGTTGAGCAAAAACTAAGATCAAAGCAAGTCTCTTTCAAAATATTCATAATTGTGAATGTAAGATGCTATATTGTTTATGTAAAATTATATGTAGGAGCTTTTGTGTGCACATGTTCCATCTCTCCATCCATCTATTTAGAAAGCTCAAGTGCAGGAGAGAGTTCACAAATACTATTAAAGAATGGTCACCAATGTTATGGCAGTTATCTTGAGGGCAGGTATTTCTGATGATTTTATTTTCTTTCTCGTGTGTTTTTATTTTATCTTAATGTTAACAATAGCCAGGTATTATTTATAGAAGAAGAAAACTCAGCAACACTAAACCATCCACATATCTCAGGCACTTTCCTCAATTTCTCCCTCTACCTCCTATTTTTCCTCAAGCCAGTCCCTTACCCTGGGACTCTCCCACACTGAATTAGTTCAGGCTCTCATTGTCCCTAACAGGTTACCTGCGTCAATCTCTTTTCTTCCCAGTACTCCACATGAAAGCCAGAGTGACCTTTCTATAATGCGTAACTTTGCACAACACTTCCCTGCCTGAACCTGTTTCTAAAATTGTTCAACGCCTGAAGCAACAATTCATAATTTTCAGCGCTGCTTTTTTTTTTTTTTTTTGAGTCAGGCTCTCACTCTGTCGTCCAAGCTGGAGTGCCGTAGCTGGCTCACCACAGCTTCAACCTTCTGGGCTCAGGTGATTCTTCTGCCTCAGCCACCAAAGTAGCTGGGACTACAGGTGGAAGCCACCACACCCAGCTTATTTTTATATTTTTTTGTATAAACAAGGTCTCATTGTGTTACCTAGGCTGGTATCGAACTCCTGGGCTCAAGCAATCCTCCTGCCTCAGCCTCCCAAAGTGCTGGGATTACAAGACTGAGGCACTACGCCTGGCTTCGGCACTCCCTTTTATAACCTTATCCACTCCCTCTGCTCTTCCCTCCCAGCCTCTCTCCTCCTTCTGTTTCCCATAGTACTTGGTGTACACTTTATTACAGCACTAAGATCATTATTTATTCATTTATTTTTTTGAGTCGGAGTCTCACTCTGTTGCCCAGGCTGGAGTGTAGTGGCATGCTCATGGCCACTGCAGCCTTGACCAGCTGGGCTCAGGCGATCCTTCCGTCTCAGCCTTCCAAGTAGCTGGAACTACAGGCATGCACCACCATGACCGGCTGATTTTTCTTGATTTATTGTAGAGATGAGTTCTCGCCAAGTTGCCCAGGCTGGTCTCAAACCCGTGGGCTCAGGCAATCCTCTCACCTCAACCTCCCAAAGTGCTGGGATTATAGGCATGAGTCACCGCGCCCAGCTGAGATCATTTTTTTTAATGATTTTTTTCCTCTTTCTCCCTCCCTACACTATGAGCTATTTGATGGTGGGGTTATATCTTAAGTGTCTTTACTAAATGAAGAAATGAGTGCTTGAATTTGTAAAGAGTAGGACCCAAAGCAGTAAATATAAATGCATGCCAACCATGTAAATGTCTATAAAAACATTGAAAAGAGGCTAAAGGGTAAACATTTTAAAGTCCCTTTCTGCCCCTTTCAGAAAGTAGCCTGAGCAATTTTTAAGTTGTCTGCCAGCCATTCACCTAATGAACAATTTATATTCAAGTTACCAAAAGTTAACAACAGTTTACAGTCCTATAAAAATAAAGCAGAGAACCCAGAAGGAAGCCGTTTTACACTATTGAAATAATGTAAAAGAAGTTCAACACTCGTCTTAACATCACACGCAGTTCTAGAAACAGCGCCTCTCCCTGAGAGAACAAGCCCAGCTGTGTGGTTACTTACTGGAGTTGAGCAGGATCATGGCCTTGACACAGAGATACTCTTTGTGTTGGAGCTTTAACTCACGAAACCTTGAAGTCGTTGCCAGGATCATGTCAAAGATTTCCAGAATTCCTTCTACGCACTTCCCCTCATCCCTACAAAAGTTCATTTGGAAGTTTAGAGAACACAGCTTCAGGCAACAATCAAAAACCATCAGGAGTGTTTCATTTTCAATCTCAAATTTCATTGAATAACATATTTATCTTGTAAGACCATGTCAGCTATAACAAGGCATTCATGGTACCACACCCTAGAAATAGGACATTCTAGAATAATCTTCACAGAAAGAAGACAGACTGTTTCCTATAAATCCCTTAAGTAAATGCGTGAATACATGTTATATAGGCAAAAATAGGCATTGGAATTACATTTTTCTTCTACCTGGTCCACCAAGTGTCTTCTTACAGAAATATCACTCCTGATAATTATTTCTATCTAAACCAGTTCAGTCAACCAGCACTAGATAGGACACATTTTACAAAAATGAGATGTTCCATATTCCCATCAGAATGCATTAATGAGGAAGATGGGCGTTACAGAAGCAAATATCCCAAGAAGAAATAAACCTTCACATCTAGGGCTTAACTCTCACTTCCTGGTGGTCACCTAGAAACTGGCATAGCAACTAAGAGACATTTAAGTGTAATTTGGAAACAGTGAGTTTGACAAAGAGATCACAATTAGAAAAGATGAATTAAAATCAGGAAAAGGAGGTCTATATGGAGACAGGAAAATTTTTGACTTGTCAAATATGCTATTTTTTAAAATTTTATTTTATTTCAACAGCTTTGCCAAGTACAGATAGTTTTGGTCTGGGCTGTAAGTGTACCCAGCCCCCTACCTGTGCACACCGTGTCCAACAGGTGATTTTTCATCCTTCCCCCGCTTTCCCCTCCCCCTCGGAGTCTCCAGTGTCCATTATACCGTGTTTGATGTCATCACAGATTATTTTTAAGCAAACATTTTAAACAAACTCTGGGCCATACAACCAAAATTATTTTGAGCATTCCTTATAGAAATACATTTTTAAATACATTTTTTGAGAATGTAAGGTAGTTCAGCCTTTGTGGGAAGCATGTGGCAATTTCTCAAAGAACTAAAAGTTGAGCTACCATTTGACCCAGCAATCCCACTCCTGGGAATATATTCAGAGGAACACAAATCACTTTGCCAAAAAGACACCTGCACATGCATGTTCACTGCAGCACTATTCACAAAAGCAAAAACAAGGAACCAACCCTACTGCCCACCGAAAATTGGACTAGATAAAGAAAATGCATACATGTACATGATGAACTACTACACAGCCATAAGGAAGAACAAAACCGTGTCCTCTGCAGCAACACAGATGCAGCTGGAGACCATCATTATAAGTGATCTATCACAGAAACAAAAAACTGAATTCTGCACATTCTCACTTATAAGCGGGCTCTAAACATCGGGCACACGGGCACAAAGACGAGAATAACAGACACTGGGTATTGCTAAAAGAGGGAGGGGGGAAGGGGAGGGAAGGGAAGGGGCACACAACCACCCATAAATACCATGTCCATCACTGCCAGAGGAGAAGGCTCGTGAGAAGTCCAAACCTCACCTTCACGCAATCTACTTAGGTAGCAAATCCTCACGTGCCCCACAACTCCTAAAATATATATGACAGGAGATCTCCCCCAAAATCAGAATTATCTTTCGGAGGTGGGTCCCTTGCAATACAGGCCTCCCCGCTAGGTGGGTGTTCTAGAAACCCATCGGCATCAGTGTACCAACCAGCACTGTGAGAGACTGCGATCAGTATCGGTGAATTTTTTTGGAGATTCTTCCCATTTCATGATGAGTGGTTTGCGAGCACACCTGCCCACACCATGCTGAGTGTTCAGCTGTTTTTGACCAAAAATGGTATGGCCCCCGTGTCCCACCCTCCCTATTCACCCTATTCACACCTCGTCATTTTTTCGTTTCTCCGGACGAAAAACGTCCTCAAAGGGAAACATTCTGCTGATGTGGAAAAGATGAAAAAAAGCAACACTAACAGGCATCGAAATGAACAAGTTCAAAAACTGTTTTGAGCAGTGGAAAAGTGTCTTTATAAGTGTATTGCATTAAACAGGAGGACTTTGAAGGTTACTGAAGTTTAAGCAGGTAAGAATAAATACAGAATTCTTTTTACAAATAAGTTCCATTTTGGGGGGTCCCTCCCATGTACACATCAGAAATAGGATATATCTTACAATTCAAACCATCTTAAATTTGATGCAATATAGTAATAAAATGTAATTGCATTAAAAAATAAATACACTTTTGAAGTAAATTACTTGAACTTTATCTGGGGAATACCAACTTCTATTCACTCCAGCCAGACGCACATTATTCCATCTCCCTGCTCCCAAAAAACTTCTGTGATTGTCAGTCTCAAGTCTTCAATAAATAGTTGGATGATTTTTGCCATGAGACCTTCACGTGCTCCAGAAAGCCTGCGGCACGCAGGGAAGAGTAGTAGGCCTCTCGAGTCCATTTTCAGTCTTTCTCGCAGCCCCTGCAGAGAGCTTCAAGGAACTGGTTGCTCCCCTCCCTCTTCCCCCAACTCCAAGCCAGGCCATTTCTAGCAATGGTGGTGTGTGGGGGCAGGGCCTCTGCAGAACTCAGATGAACTGACACCACTGGGCACACTCACCCCAGGAGGTCTTTCCCGCTAGGTGCTATACAGGACAGCATTCGCCCGCATGACCCCCTGACAGACCCACACAGAGCTACAAAAGTATGCAAACTGCTCATTGAGTGAATGAGTATGGTAACGTCTGCGAACAGTTCCATTTCTGTAAGTACACAGGTTAAGTGACAAAACATCCTAAAGTCACTCCCCGGGAAAGGCCGTCTTGGCGATCAGGGCCCTGGGCAAAGAGTGCCAAGATCTGTAGGAAGTCTTCAACTGTCTCCATGGCCCCATCTTCCCACCTGCCCTAACCAGCTCCCCAGCTCTGGGCTCTCCCAAGCAGCCTGGTGCAGGCATCTAGTAAAGACAACATAGACCCCGCATACTGCAGTTGTTCACTGAATGTCCCTCCTGCCATATCATCAAGTCACTCTGCCTGGGGGCAACTAATTAATGGAAATTGTAACTCAGGCTTGAAGACATGTGATACTGAGCAAAGCTGGTTTTAAAATATGTCTGTGTGGCAAAAACAAAAGATCCCCCGACTCCTGCATGAATGGTGTAATTATTTGGCTTTTTACTCTTCTGTGAGACTCAAAGTCCAACGTGGGAATATGCACCACACACACACACACACACACACACACACACACACACACACACACACACGGTGGTAGAGTAAGGGACCCACCTGAAATCAATTTCATTTTCCAGAAGTTACCACTGTGCCTAAGAACAATCCCTAAATACTAAAACTCATTAAAACATTTTTAATGCAAATTCATCTGTCAAAAATGAGGGGAGATTTACACACAGAGGCATCTTGAGCCCTGATAAATACTGCAACTCACAGTGATCGTGGAATGTGTTCCTTGTGGAGAAAGTAAAATTCTAAGCCAAGTCTAAAGAACTGGGTCTGATTGCTTTCTTTCATTCAAGAGGTGGCAAAGTTAGAATATTTTTATTCACTTCACAGGTTGTAGAAACCAAACACATTTCTACAGAATCAGTGAGAAATATAGGAACAATAAAGTGCAAAGCCTCATAAATGACAGTCTAGCAGAGTGAGTAACTCAAGACCAAGTGAGGAGGGACTTTAAAATACCAAATTCAGATCTATCCCATTTATTTTGTAACTTTAGATTGAAAAATTAATTATGAGAGTAAGAAATGAGGCAGAATTAGGGCTGGCCAGACACAGTGGCTCATGCGTATAATCCCAGCGCTTTGGAAGGCCGAGGCAGGATCAACACTTGAGGCCAAGAGTTTGAGACCAGCCTGGGCAACATAGCAAGACTCTGTCTCTACAAAAATAAAATAAAAATAATAAAAATTTTAAAATTAGCTGGGCATGATGACATGTTCCTGTAGTCCTAGCTACTTGAGAGACTGAGGTGAGAGGATTCCCTTAGCCTAGAAGTTCGAGGTTACAATGAGCTATGATCTCTATTCTACACCAGTCTGAGCAACAGAGCAAGACCCTGTCTATTTTTACAAAAAGAAAAAAAGAAAAAAGGAGGACATGCAACTGAAACATTAAAATACTAAAACAATATATTAAACTGACCTAGTCACAGAAATTTACTTCTGCATACTATTTGTCCATAAACTAGTACTAAAAAAGAAAAATAGTAATTACACATGGAATATTTTATTACTTGATAATCACTTTTTTTATAAAAAGAAGAATATTGCTTGAGACCAACAAAATGTTGAAAGAGTGGGTCTTGCTTTGGGGTATACTATTTTGTACCCAAATATACACGAGTAGAGACCACAGTTTGTGTATGTGTGGCGGGGGGGGGGGGTTTAAGGCTTAAAACATAGAAAATAATAAATAATGAGCCAAAGTGAAATTACTTGGGTACAAAGGGTAATTTAAAAGTGGTTGAGCACAGTGGCTCACACCTATAATCCCAACACTTGGGGAGGCCGAGGTTGGAGGATAGCTTAAGGCCCGGAGTTCAAGACCAGCCTGGGCAACATTGCGAGACCCTATTTCTATAGAAAATATGAATAGTAAACAAACAAGCAAATAAAATAAAATGTAAACGTGGGCCAGACACGGTGGCTCACATCTGTAATCCCAGCACTTTGAGAGGCCAAGGCAGGAGGATCGCTTGAGCCCAGAGGTTTGAGGCCAGCCTAGACAATATAGCAAGACCTCATCTCTACAAAAAAATCCAAAAATTAGCTCGGTGTGGCCGTTCACACCTGTAGTCCCAGTTACTCAGGAAGCTGAGACGGTAAGGTCGCTTGATCCCAGGAAGTCAAGGTTGCAGTGAGTTAGGATCATACCACTGCACTCCAGCCTGGGTGACAGAGTTGAGACCCTGACTCGGAAAAAAAAAAAATTAGAAGTGAAAATTCTATAGCTATCTTGAAATTCAGCATACAAATAGCCAATGTGAATGTAAGCTGAGTACATTTACAGATTTATGATTCCATGGAACACTGTAAATGTTTACAATGGAGTCTGAGCCCGGGGTTAAACCGCCTCTGACTTTTCAGTAACACTTAACATGAGACAGTATCCTGCTGATGATAAGGACACAAAGTCCTTAAGTGTCTTAGCATATATGATTTTTTCAGCAAGTAGACACTTGAGTTCTGTGGTAGGTCTCTGTATGAATTTATGATTCTAGTGGTTACTACAGAAAGAACTACCTTGTTAGAAATAAGCTGAGATTCCTGGATTTTCCTCTCATCCTCAGTTGGTTCAAGTTTTCTTGTTGCAGAAGCCTCAACAAGAATAAAAGTAAATAGAAATTACAGTCTCAAGTGGGTGAAGGTAGCTATATCCCCTGCTTATATAGCTGTATCACCACTTGAAGGATCTCTGGTAGGATAACCCAGCAAAAAAATAAAACAATTCCGTTATTTTCAAATAGTGTGAAGATTATTTATTCACTTTGCAAAAACAATTCGAAATAGAACTCCTTTAAGGAGCTTGATCCCTGACTTTTTGAATCATCAACACCTCCAGAAAAACACCAATGACACAGAAGTATATTTCTCTGTGTATAAGAGATGCACTAGCCGGGCTCGTTGGCTCAGCCTGTAATCCCGCGCCTTTGGGAGGCTGAGGTGAGTGGATTGCCTGAGCCTGTGGGTTTGAGACCCGCCTGGGCAGGCGAGACCTCATCTCTACAATAAAATCAAAAAATTAGCCGGGCATGGTAGCTTGCACCTGTAATTCCGGCTACTCGGAAGGCTGAGGCGGAAGGATCGCCGGAGCCCAGCAGGCGAGGCTGCGGTGGCCAGAAGCGGCCACTGCACTCAGTCTGGGTGACAGAGTGAGACTCCAACTCAAAAAAAAAAAAAGAGATGCACTAAGTAACTGAACTATCTTGGACTGGACATTCTAGACTAGTTAATTTGCTAAAAACAATTCTAAGGATTGCAACAAAAAATAAACACCAGTAGGCACCAAAAAAAAAAAAAAAATGCCTGCTCAATGTGAATGCATTCACAATTCTCAAGAAATCTCTTTCTATACTCACTAGATGTATATGTTATAAAGCATAATATTTTCAAATATTTATAAAGGGCAAAGTGCATCTATTAAAAACAATTTGGGTTGGGCATGGTAGCTCATGTGTGTGATCCCAATACTTTGGGAGGCTGAGGCAAGAGGATTGCTTGAACCCAGGAATTTGAGACCAGCCTAAGCAACACAGACAGACCTCATCTCTACAAAAAATAAAAAAATTAGCCAGGCATGGTAGCATGTGCCTGTGGTCCCAGCTACTCAAAGATAGGGTGGAAGGATTGCATAAGCCCAGGAGGTTGAGTCAGGAGTGAGCAGTGATTGTGCCACCACACTCTAGCCTGGGCAGCAGAGTGAGACCCCCAACTCAAAAAATAAAAATAATTTGTAAGAAAAATGAGGTTTTCTTTCTTCTATTACCTGACTAAAACGTAGGCCTAATATTTATCCAGAATTTGCATCCATTTACAGTAACACACACTTATACACATACTTACAGGAATTAAAGAACCCATACACAAAAAGAGAGAGTTAATTGTTCGAAAAACCAGGAATTAAACAGTCGCTTAAAATATAACACTAAATTTGACATCAATTTAGAAATCGAGGCAAAAAGTAAAATAATTGAATCCCAAAGTCTACAAGTTAATTGGTTCATTAAGGCATGGAACGTCTTCCCTGGACTAACTTCTAGAACTAAATTCTGATATGTGTGTATGAGCTTTACTTAAAATGACAAGTGGCCAGGCATGGTGGCTCACACCTGGATTCCCAGCACTTTGGGAGGCTGAAGTGGAGGTTTTGTTTGGGCCCAGGAGTTCAAGATCAGCCTGGGCTACATAGCAAGACCTTGTCTCTACCAAAAAAAAAAAAAAACTTAGCTGGGTATGGTGAGCCATGATCATGCCACTACACTCTTGCCTGGGCAACAGGGTGAAACTCCAACAAGCAAAAAACCACCAAGAGTAATATAATGAATGAAAGGGGACAATGAGCAGGGCTCGGTGGCTCAGCCTATAATGCCGCGCCTTTGGGAGGCTGAGTGGATTACCTGAGCCCGTGGGTTTGAGACCCGCCTGGGCAGCAAGACCTCATCTCTACAATAAATCAAAAAATCAGCCGGGCGTGGTAGCACATGCCTATAATTCCGGCTACTCGGAAGGCTGAGGCGGAAGGATCGCTGGAGCCCAGCAGGTCGAGGCTGCGGTGGCTGGGAGCAGCCACTGCACTCCAGTCTGGGCGACAGAGTGAGACTCCAACTCAAAAAAAAAAGAAAGGGGACAATGGCTTGGTGCTTGGCTTTTCAGCCTGCCTTGCAAGGTACCCTGAGACTACAGCAAGAGGAGTAGGTTTCTGTAGTAGGCTGAGAATCGACTAGAGTTGTCCTAAGACATAAGAATCAAGTAGAAAGTTAGCCTGCCCTTGGGCAAATCCCCAAGTCCAGTTCCACCACTTACTAACCTGTAACTGTAGGCAGGTTACTTAGCTCTTATTTCCTTATCTGAAGGATAGGGATAACAATGGCACTGACCCTCAAAGGGCTGCTGTGAAGATTAAATGAGTCAACAGACATCAAGCGTTTAAGATGGTGCCAATAGTTTAGCTATTTTGATTGTTACTGAAGGGTCTGCTGCCCTGCACGGCTCTGGGCTTTCAGAGCCCACTAGAAGGGGGAACCACTACCTGGGCTTGCTCCTGCTTGAGCCGCATCCACGCTCCGGCTCTTCCCAAAGGCTCTGTTCTCAATCAGAACACCGTTACTCAGGATGGTGCTCTGTCAACATGTCCTCTATGACAACAGGCAGAATGAGCACTGGTCCCTTGGGGTAGCACTCTTCCTCTGCACAAAGTGCGCACGGATCTTCTGACGATCTAAGTTGGTAGCAGGATCATAACGCAAGTGTTGGGGCAGGCGCTGGGCATCCTGTGCCCAGAGTCAGATGTGGCTGAACATTCAACACTGGCACTTTTTAAATGGAAGGGGTGTGGAAATCAATTTCCATGGAAATTTTCAAGCTGCTCAAATTGACACCAAAAGAGTATTCTATCCTTTTTGTTAAAAAGCTTGAGTGTTGCTGTGTATTCCAGCTTTCCCACTTAAGTCAATGAAAAATGGGTTCTTTTCTGTTTCATATTTATAGGAAAACTAAACGCAATCAAGTGATGGCATCAGCACCATCATGTCCCGGTTTCTGTTAACTTTCATGTGGTTTTAATAACCACTCCTTCTACCACTATGGTCAGAAATGCTAGATGGTCACATGCATTAGAGTGAGTTAAAGCATGGGAAAATGAACTTGGCAGCTTCATAAGAATTTTATCACCTGTCCAGATAGCTCAAGACGTAATTGGTAGGTGGGAAAAAAAACAGCGGGACAACTTAAGATTATAACTGGAAAATGGAATTTTTAATGCAGAAAAACCTACATAGCTTTGTGCCTTTGAGGGCCACATACTTACAGGATGCAGACCCCTGATGGCCCTGGCCTGTGAACGCTGCATCGCCCAGATGAAAAGTGAGGCTCTGGACCTGGGCCCCTCGCACCTGTGCTCTCTCCTTCTCCAGTTCTTGACCCAGTGAAGAAGCTGATGACATTATCATCCTCTAATCATCCTTCAGCTGTGAGATTTTAATTGCAGCACCTGGGACTTTGTTCCCACTCACTAAGCTCCTCACACAAGTCAGAGAAGAAACACAATGCGTTTTGTTCTCACCTGTCCAGAACGAGGTCTGGAGCGAAGATGAGCTTGCCAGGGTGGTCGATGGAGCGCCACATGAGCCCCACCATTAACACCTCCATCCAGCAGCTCTCCAGAAGCCGCACTTGGTCGAACAGGCTGAGCTCCACAAAGCCTGGGGAAAGCAAGAGGCCGTGAGACACACCCGCCCTCCTCCTCAGTACCCCGTGTCTGTAAAGACAGAGTGACAAGTTTTAAAACACTCAGAAAACACAAGCAATACAGGGAAAGAATAAATATTTTAATGTTTTTATTTTATTTTATTTTATTTTATTAGAGACAGGGTCTCACTATGCTGCCCAGACTGGAGCACAGTGGCCATTCACAAGCATGGTCACAGTACGCTACAGTCTCAAACTCCAGGCCTCAGGCAATCTTCCCACCTGAGCCTCCCGAGTAACTGTAATTACAAGTATGTGCCCCCACGCCCAGCTCACAAGCATCAGTTTTTTAAACATGTGATTAACTGCTGGTTAAAGAAAGAAAATTTTGTACTTAAGTTGTGCCACTCAGTTTTCAGTCTTGGATCCCTCCCACAGACAAATACACTTCATTTAGAATTTGTAAGGCAGGGCACAGTGGCTGACACTTGTAATCCCATCACTTTGGGAGGCCAAAGTAGGAAGACCACTTGAGCCCAGGAGTTCAAGACCTGCCTGGGCAACATAGCAAGACCCCCATCTCTAAAAAAAATAATAAAAGCTCATTATCAGCATCAGCATCATCACAGAACTTATAAAGCACTATGACCTGGGCTCATTCAGCTCCCCCATCAGATGCTAGAGAACAGGAAACCAGAACCCATCTGTGTTAGCTAGAGCCTAATACTTCCTCTGCACTGCTGAGCCAGACAGCGCCTGGCTGCCAGTCAGAGGAGCTGCCTATCTGACCCAGCCCTTGGTTGGGACCAGTCAGGTGGAGGAATGGCGCAGGGGGAGGCTGGGGGTAGTGCCCAAAGAGCAGGTCCGGGCCCTGCAGAAAGTCAAGGCTTCAACTGAAATGGCTTCCGCAACCGCTGAAAATTTCCCATCCAGTATGAAGCTCATTCTTCGGGGTAGAAGGGCTGTTTCTAGGTGATTCCAGCCTTAAGAGCAAATATAACAACCGAAGCCGGTCCTGATAACCTAATAGCCTGTGTTGGTCAAAGAACTGGGAAGAAGCCAGTAATCAGTCTCTGGGGAGGTGAGCACTTCAAAAGCAAAGCTTGGAACACAGGGCTTCCTCCACAAGCCAAGATAAAAGGAGGAAGCCTCGCAGTGCAAATATGGTGATGACAGGCACTGCCTTGGAGGGAAGTGGGCTCTTGCTGGAACCCCTGCTCAGCCTCTTCCCTGCTGGCTGCTTTGTCTCCTTTTAAGTCTTTGCTTTTCCTCTAGGAAAAATGGGGCTAGTGAGGCCTATCTCTGAGAATGTCCTACAGAGAGCATCTCTTATCAGCCTCATTCAACAGATGAGGAAACTGTGGCACGGAGAAAAAATGGAGTCTCTGAACCATGATAATGCCAATCTCCACAAAGGAGAATTTAATGGGGAAATGAAGGCAAAGATGGACAAACACCTTCCAAAGCCACCTGCTATGCTCAGCTCAGGTTCCTAATATGTTTCCACCTTCCAATCTCACCCTCAGTTACAGACAATAAGCCCACCCAAGAGAGATCAGCAGATATTCAACAAGATCAAGATCAAGCCTAGATGACTTTCTTTTAATTTTTTTTTTTTGAGTCGCGGTCTCACTTTGTCGCCCAGGCTGGAATGCAGTGGCACAATCACAGCTCACTGCAGCCTCAACCTTCTTGGCTCAGGCAATCCTTCTGCCTTAGCCTCCCTAGCAGCTGGGACTACAGGTATGAGCAACCATGAAGTTAATTTTTTTTTATTTTTTTGTAGAGATGAAGTCTCACTATGTTGCCTAGGCTGATTTCAAACTCCTGGGCCCAAGCAATCCTCCTTCCTTGGCCGCCCAAAGCACTAACTTTACTTGCGTGAGCCACCACACCCGGCCTAGATGATATTTAAATATCTTTTTGGTTTGGACAAGGACCATGCCAGGTGAGAGAAGGGGAGAGGGGGAATCACACCTTCAGACTATGTCTAAGTTTTCTGAAAAATTTTCAAAATACCAGGCTTGAAGAAAAAGTAATGCAGCTTAAGAGTTCAGTTGTTATGGCACAAAGGAAGTGCACAGCTTTCAGCAATAACTAAGTTCACCATCCTTCCCCATGTGGGGTCCTGCAAAACGGTGTCTGGAACACCTTTAAAGCAAAAACTAGAGGAAAGTGCCTCAGTACTGTCAGAAAATAACATAATGCTGGCAAAAGGTGAAGATGCTAGACAAAACAAAACACAACTGGAAGCCAAAAAATTCTCAGGACGTGCAGCAGGAATGGGCCCAGGCCAACAAATGACCACAAAATATGGTCATCCCCTGGACCTTGGTTCCCATGGCTCTTAATTCCCAATTGCTCTTCCTCCAGCTTCTCACTCCTCCTAATCTCTGCAGTTTGCCCAACGCAGCTGCTGTCCCCAGGTCATGCAAACATCTTCAGTGGCTTAGAACCTGGGGAGAGACCTCTCTTCATGGAGGGCTGAAAGGAAATGCGTGGAGAAGCTTTTGCAGGAGGATGACGGGAGGGCTGCCATTCTAGGTCAGAATCCCAGATTCACTCCTCCACAGATACATACCCATTCAAACGAGAATTCGCCGGTCATGTTAGCACAATCCCGTACTTCAGGTCTGCGCTACCAACGAGCCTAAGGAAGTGATCGCTTTATAGGACGAAAATTACAGGCCCCAAATGACCATTCATGCATAACTAAACCCATTTCTAACTTGATGGTGTTCCCGGTTTACTGGTCCATCCGTGACTCATGGAACATCAACTGCTGATTTACTCTATTTGTCCCTATATTTTCATTTATGTCCATAATATTGAGACTTTCTCTATTGGAACAATATTTGACAAACTCCTATTTAGAGTCTGACACACCTCTCACTTTCACGCTGGTCATACTGCATCGGACACTACCCAACCCCCAAGGTTAGGAGACCCCAGCCAAGAGAGAGAGGCCAATGTGAAGCTCATACGTCCTCCTTTTAACCACATTACAAGTCCCAGGACCCTAGAATTTCTTGCCCAAATGACCCCAAGCCCAATTCAAGAGCCTGGGTGGGTCTCTTCTGTGGGTCCATCCTCCCAGACCCCGCCCCCACTAGGCATGAGAGGTGGGGCAACAGGTGAGTGTGTGTAAGAGGTGTGGACACATAGGAGGGGGGCAGGGTGGGGTTTGTACCAAATGGTATGTGGGGCATCTGAGACTGGAAAAAGAAGGGAGTCTGGAATAATACCGGGGTCCATGTACAACTCTTCCTGCACTGCTATGTCTGGTATTGCACTCAGAGGAGTCCAAGAATTCTGCATGGGAACCCGGCCTTGTCGAAGGCATGTATGCCAAGATGGGAGGCGAAGTTATTTCATTCAAAAGCTCTACATCACCCATCAAGCTGGTAAACATCTAGGCCCAGCTAGCAGACCCCTGCTTTGAACCCTGGCCCCTGAAAGGTTAGGGGTGGGCCTTTCCACGAAGCAACGCAAAGCCAATGCCCAGAAAGCCCTACCGGGAATCTTCTTGGCCCAGCCGATCATGTGGACCAGCTCCTTGTCCGCCAGCTTGGTCAGCGACAGCATCATCGAGGTCTCCGTGAAGGGCGCGCTGGGGCGGCTCACCAGCACATGGGGCGGCTCGGCCTCCAGCAGGGAGAGCACCAGCTGCTCCGGGCTGAGCGCCCCCAGCGGCAGCTCCCTCACCCGGGCCGCGGGGTCGCCGCTCCTCTTGGCCTGGCCGGGGCAGTACGGCGGCTCCGCCGGGCTTCTCTGCCTGCGCACCGGGCGGTAGGCACACCGCTCTCTCCGGGAGCCTGCGGGGAGACAGAAGGCGACACGGGCTCTCCCTGGCCGGCCTTCGAGCTCCCGGGTCGCCAGGGCACAGCGGAGCAGGGACGTCCCTGAGGCCCGAGTCCATTCTCAGGACGTGGCTGAACAGAGGCTGGATCTGTGTTTTCTGGAGCCCGTGGAGCAGGTACCAGTTCCGTACCAGTTCAGCCGGGACTGAAGTCGCAAAATCCGCCCCGTGACTTTTAAGAACTTTTTAGGTGCCGTTTCAAGGGCCTCGGTGGATGCTAAGTCCGTTTCTCTTTGAAAGAGTGTTGACCTACCTCCGTTTCCAAACCATGAAATTAGGAATTTTCCTCATGTGGAAACCTGAAAAGTTAGAACTTCAACACTGCAATGTACAAACAGTTATCAAATAACGTACTTTGATAATGCAGTCTTAAAATGTTTATATGTATGTGTAAATATATTATGTATAATATATTAAAAGTCTTTATATATGCTTGTTGGTGCAAGTATGAAATATATATATTCACACTTGCACAAACAAGCATATTTCAAATAACAAATTAGCTGAAAAAAAATCTGTGAAACTGACCGGGCGCGGGGGTCATTCTTGGGAGGCCGAGGCGAGAGAATTGCCAGAGCCCACGGGTTCGAGACCAGCCTGGGCAACTTGGCAAGAGCTTGTCTCTACAGTAAATCAAAAATTATAGCTGGGCATGGTGGCATGCAGCTTGGATCCCCCTACTTGGAAGACTGGGTTGGAAGGATCATCTGAGCCCAGCAGGTCAAAGCTGTGGTGGCTGTGAGTATGCCTGTGCACTCCAGCCTGGGCGACAGAGTGAGACTCTGACTCAAAAAAGAAAAAAGTCTGGGAAATATAGAAGAGAACAAATTTTGACATAAATTATTTTGGTCTTTTTTATGCTCTTGGAATTTTCTATATTTTATACACAAAATCAGATCATAGCGTACATCATTTTATAAGCTTCTTCTCTTTTTATTAAAAGTATGACATTTTACAACAATTTAAAATTCATTTTGTTCTATGAATACAGCATCATTCAAAGAATCCCCTGTTGATGGAAATCTAGGTTGGTTCTAGTCTCTTGGCTAGTATAAATATTACAACAAAAATATTCTTTGTATATAAAATTACTTTATATCTCATTACTTCCTTATAATAAATTCAAAGAAATCAAATTGTTGAACCAAGATATCTACATATTTAAAATGTTGATACATCTTGATGGATTTGTAAATACTCCAAAAGTATTTACAAATTTATAATCTAAGCAATAGTTTGCCTGCCTATTTTCACATAACACCATATGGCATTAAAAATCATTTCTAAGCCGGGCTCGGTGGCTCAGCCTGTAATCAGCGCTTGGGAGGCTGAGGTGAGTGGATTGCCTGAGCCTGCGGGTTCAAGACCCACCTGGGCAGCTTGGCGAGACCTCATCTCTACAATAAATCAAAAAATTAGCCAGGCATGGTAGCGCGCGCCTGTAGTTCCAGTTACTTGGAAGGCTGAGGCCAGAGTCCAGCGGGTCGAGGCTACAGTGGCAGGGAGCTGCCACTGCACTCCAGTCTGGGTGACAGAGTGAGACTCCAACTCAAAAAATAAAAAATAAAAAAAATCATTTCTAATCTTTGCTAATCTGACAAGTGATTAAACAATCTTGTTTCACTTTGTGCTATTTATTTATTTATTTATTTTGAGGTGGGGTCTCACTCTGACACCCAGCCGGGAGTGCAGTGGCATGACCACAGCTCACTACAGCCCTGACCTCCTTAGCTCAGATGATCCTTCAATCTCAGCCTCTTGAGCAGCTGAGAATACAGGCGTGTGTCACTATGCTTGGCTTTTTCTTTTTTTCGTAGAGATGAGGTTCCGTTATGTTGCCTAGGCTGATCTTGAATTCTTAGACTCAAGCAATCCTCCTGCCTTGGCTTTCCAAAATGCTGGGATTACAGACCACCACACCAGGCCCTTTGTGCTTTTTAATTACTTGCAAGGTTGGCTAATATGTTTGCCCTTTGTATTTCTTTACTTATGAATTGTCTACTTGTTTATTTTGCCTTTTTTCTCCTAATAACCTATAAAGGCTCTTTATATAGTAACGATAGGCTACTGTTTGTCATATGCATAGTTGTACTATTTGTTCTGTCTTTTAACTTTGCTTAGGGTGTCTTCTCTCACAAGAAGTCTAGTACATAGTCAAATCTGTCTTTTTGTTTCACATCAATAATATGCAAATATTCTCCTATATCTTCTTAAGCATTTTTGTAGTTCAAATTTATTTGAAATTGTACCTATGTTTGTACAATGAGATATTGATATATCATGTTACAATTTTCCCAATACCTTTTTTTTTTTTTTTTTTTGAGTTGGAGTCTCACTCTGTCGCCCAGACTGGAGTGCAGTGGCCGCTCCTGGGCTCGACCTGCTGGGACTCCGGTGATCCTTCCACCTCAGTCTTCCAAGTAGCTGGAATTACAGGCACGCGCTACCATGCCTGGCTAATTTTTTGATTTCTTGTAGTGATGAGGTCTCACCAAGTTGCCCAGGTGGGTCTCGAACTTGCGGGCTCAGGCAATCCACTCACCTCAGCCTCCCAAAGGCGCGGGATTACAGGCTGAGCCTTCCCAATACCTTGTAATGAATAAGCTTTTTCCCTTGCTTTAAAATGTCTTGTCACTCTCTGGGCTCGGTGGCTCAACCTATAATCCCAGTACTTTGGGAGGCCAAAGTGCGTGGATGGCCTGAGCCCACAGGTTTGAGATCAACCCGGGCAACTTGGCAAGACCTCATCTCGACAATAAATCAAAAATTAGCCAGCGTGGTAGTACATGCCTGTAGTTCTAGCTACTTGGAAGGCTGAGGCAGAAGGATTGCCAAAGCCCAGCAGGTCGAGGCTGCGGTGGCTGTGTTTGTGCCACTGCACTCCAGCCTGGGCGACGGAGTGAGACTTCAACTCAAAAAAATAAAAATAAAGTGCTTTGTCATTTAACAAATAATTATATATAAAAGTGTGTTTTTAAAATTTTTTCTACTTTGTTTTATAGAGCAATTTTTCTATTCCTGTGCTGGTGCCAAAATGTTTTAGTTACTGTAGGTTTATGAACTAGGACACAATGGGATAAGTGTCTTTAAGGAGGTAAGGAGGGGGGAAAAAACCCTTCAACTCAGAATTACATTTTTAGGTAAACTATCATTGAAGAACAAGGATAAATTAGGAACATTTTCCATTATGCATAGACAAAGACGACAGATCGTTCACAGTCACTTTGAAATAACTGCTGTACTATGTTCTTTGGGATGGAGAAAAATGAACCAGAAGAAAACAGTGAGATTCAAGAAGCAATGGTAAGAAAGTAAATGGGCAAATATGAGATTAAATCTGAAAAAAAAACACTGAATGAATAAAACAATAATCTTGGGAGATACAGAAACAAGGTGGAACCAAAATTCCAAACAATAACATGCAAGATAAGAAAGAAATGATTTTGGCTAGAACTTTCTAAGATTATTTGGGAAGAGAGAAGCTTAAATTCTCACATTAATCAAGACTGCATGTTAAAAACAGAAATGTCACTAAAGGAACTGAAAGAGAATGGATAACTTTCAAACTAGTAGAAGAGGGAAAAAAAAATGTGAAAATGTGATCAACTCCTAAAAAGAAAGAAGTAGAAAATACATAATAAAAATGCTGAAAGCACAAAACAAGATGACAGAAATGAACCCAAATATCAGTGACTGCAATAAACAAAAAGGGATTCAGTTCACCATGTAAGAGTGACTCTGAAATCACATGTATTTTTAAATCCAGACATAGACGAGTTGTAAGAGATACCCCTAACATTCAGAAAAGATGAAAATGAAGGACAGAAAAATGTGCAACAGGTAAAAAACCAAATAAACTGCAGTTATTCTATCAATATCAGACAAACTTCGAGGCAAAAATCATTATTAGAGATAAGGAGACTCATCACCAGAATATAAAAGAACAGTACTTTTAAACTCACATGTTTCAAAACAACAAACAGAACCTCCAAACACAACACAAAGAGATTGAAAGACAAGAGAAACTGACAAATACTCTAATATAATGGAATACTTTAACATATTTCTCTCAGTAACTGACAGAACATTTGAGTCACATAATTAATAAGTTTGATCTATAAAGACCATATATATCTGCAAAAATTATTACATACTAGGTCATGAAGACAATCTGACCTAAAATGGCTATCATATGGATCATATTCTTTGACTAAAATAAAAAACAATAGAAATCAACAACAAAAGGATAACTTCTAACCCCCTATAAATTTGAGCACCAAAATTATTACAAATATTCATTGCTAAAGACCAAAATGTAAAATGGAAATGAAGAAAAACACTGTAAGCCAGGATATCATTAGCATGGGTTCAAATTTTATATGAATTTTCCCTAAAAAAATTCTAAAGATTAAGATCTGCAAAATGTCTAGTTTTTATACTCTCACCATTGTTTGTTCACTAAATGTAATTGTCTACAATTTTTTAAAGAAATATTAGTTAGAAAGTATGAGCAAACAAACTATTGCTCTCAAGAAAATTAATCAGACTTTCCTCTTAACTTTGGCTAATTACAGTAGAAGAAAGAGATATATCCATTCAGGAACACTTGAACCAAATTTATTACTGAAAGAATTAAAGGCCTAAAACATAATTAATTTTATTAGTAATTAACAGAGTGCTAGAAATATTTAAGATCAATTATATCTCTAGGGTAAATGAAACAAAATGTACGGTTTAAAAAAGCACCCTTCTGAGCACACATTTCTCTCTTGTAGAGTATATGAGGATAAGGAATTTACAAAATGGGTTTAAATACCCAAAGTGAAAGATTTTGAATTCATACATTCAAATGTATTTTTATTATTTATTTATTTATTTTTGAGTTGGAGTCTCACTCCATTGCCCAGACTGGAGTGCAGTGGCACATTCACGGCCACCCCAGCATTGATTTGCTGG